ATCAACATTCCGAATGTTGATATTTCTTCAATTCGATTTTACGTTGTGAACAGTTGAGATTTTTTATTAATCCATATTTTGCAATTGGAACGAGTCTTTGGATATTCAAGTATTCCATGTTCGGATGCAGTACCATAATAAACTGAGGAAGGAAGCAATGGAGAAAGGAGAAAAATACAAAGTTACAAAATTGAGGCGCAATATTGAGATGGATGAGTATGACTTAATGCATTGGCGTAGGTCATTTGAGGAAAGAGAAGCCCTACTTAGAGACATCAGCTGGTACGGTTATTTTAATATTGTCACTTTAAATCCTTTCATTATATCATGGCCTGATATTTTCTCGTTACCACTTTGCGCAGTCGTAAATCCCTTGGTCTGCCATTGGAAGAGCCCGGAAGGTACGTGGATGCTAGCTTTTTTGGCAAAGACCAATATGATCCTTCAAGTCCCCTTTATCGATATGATTACTGGGGAGAACCCAAGAACTCTGAGAAGAGCAAGCAAGAGAGGATGACAGATACCCATAACAAATCCATTGTGGGAAAGGGTACTGTGTGGTATGAAATGTCATATGATGATTGCATCAAGCAACAGATGAAAAGAGAAGCCCAGCCCCAAGAACAATGGGAGAAAGCTGACGATGAAGATAAAACACAACTCAGTGGTGAAGACGATGATGAGGATGGTGACGATGACGATGACCTTGACTTTAGCGTTCTAAGCAATCTTGGCATAAATCTATCGGATCAGCTTCATGTTAATGGAACTGAATCCTATAGAATGTCTGATGAGGGTATTTTTGAGGATTAATGCTTTATCGTCTGTACATTGCGTAGCTGAAGTAAAATTCGCTGGTTGTATAGTTGGGTTGAGAACTGTGCATGTGGTAACAATGCACCGTTTTTATTCTTTATTTTTTGTTTTCATGGGAAGGAAAATTTTCTTAAAATTATGAAACCTTACGGTGAAGAGTACAATACGACAGCATCTTGTACTATAGGGAGAAGAGATTCTATTTAGGTGCAGATGAACTCTCAGTATTAAGGTGTGCTTGCCATTTTAGTGTTTAACGGTGATCCAAACCAAGCTGCCCTCAAATGCGAACATAGAATGAACATATGACCTAGCTTATTCATTACATTCGGAACAGAAAGCACACTTTTTGAACCCTCAAAAAAAAAAAAGGCATTTGTTTCAAATGATGGTCTCTTCAGCACCCCCTTCGTAGGTAGCAGTACTATCAGAATCTTTCAACCAAATTCAAAGTGCTTGCATGACCCTGTCTGGAAAATTAACGTATGGTTGAAATGTCTTGAGTTTTATACAAGTATAGTTGAAAATATATTTTTCATGCAATGCATAATGATAGATAATTTGAATTCTTAAAGAATATATACTAATAAAACATGTAGAAAAGATATTAAAAGAATAAAAAATTATATAAACTCCAATGATAAGTGCAGAGAAAAATTTAAAAATAAAAAGTACTTCAAAGATGGCAAAATAATCACATATTTTCAGACTTGCATATAAAATTTTTCTGTAAGTTTTATATTTTTAACATATTGATATAGATTATGACAAGGGCTTGATTTTTAAAGGGTGAAGGGTAATTTTTGTTCCTAAGCTATATATGAAGATTCACAAATAACTTTAAACTTAACTTAGGGTCAATTATATCCCTCAACCTTAAAATTTTATATCCTCTATGCCCTTAGCGTTAATTATACATTATTGAGGCCCACGTGAAATTTTTAAACAATTCTTTTAATAATAAAATATAATAGTGGGATTCACTTAATATTTTTTGAGGTTAAAGATTTAAAGTGCCTCTTATCTAAACGAAAAGAGTCAAAGTTACCGCTATAGTTAAGAGAGGATCATTTCTATCTCTCAATTGCTAAGATTTTCAATTTAATCACCTTCCTGTCTATTCTTTCCATTTTCTTAGCTAGTGGAGCCCACATTTATTTTTTTTAAAATATTTTTAATGGGTCCCATCATTTTTAATGTTTTTTATAATTTAAAAAAAAAAACCCTCTCTCTTCTCCCTATTCTCCCTCTCTTCTCTCTCTGTCCCCCCTTCATTCCCACTCTCATTCACTTGTTTTTGAATTGAAGCAAGTGGAGTAGCGGCGATAGAGCTCCTAGCACACCGATTATAGTCTTGTTATCGTTGCGAATGGCTAGGCTGAAGAGTACATTTGAAGCATGTTCTAGCAAAGGTTGGTGGAGTTCTAACACTATTTAGGAATGACAGATTTGAGGGTAATGTTAAGAATTATGGTAGAAAAATCATGTTCAAAGCCATTGAAAAGCTGTATCATTAAGTTTAAATTTTTACAAGTATGAATAGTGACTCACTGAAAGGTGTAGCCTAAGCCCTAAGGAAACCTAGTAAAAATATAAAAAAAATGATAAGACTCGCTAAAAATATTTAAAAAATTAAATATGAGCCTTATTAAAGGTGAAATTTGATGGAATAAACGACAAGATGATAGAATAAAAAGTTTTAGCAGTTGAAGAATATAAATGATCATCTCTTAACTTTAGGGGCAATCTTGACTCTTTCCACTTAGTTAAGCAGTATTTTAGACTCTTAACCTTATAAAAATGATGAACCCCAATAAAAATATTTAAAAAAAATTAAATGTAAGCCATACTAATAGTAAAATTTAATAAAATAAATAACAGGGTAATGTAATTAAAAATTTTAACAATTAAGGAATATAAATGATCCTTTCTTTAGTTTAGAGACAATCCTAACCTTTTTTATTTCGTTGAGAATTATATTTGACCCTTAACTCATTTTTAAATTGGGGGAGAATAAATTTCACTGTCCAAGAAGTTGACCTCCCCAAATCTGCAAGTTATTAAGCTATTTAAAATTACTTTGTGTAGGTGAGTGAAGCAGCCAAAAATGTAGGTTGCAGAGAATAAAGCGAAAGCTAGCGTGATAGCATCAGCTCCAACTTATGGATTTGGAGAATGGGGAATTGGAAGAAAGTGAGAAAGATTTTGTTTGATTTTCTCTATTGAACCAGCAAAAATAATTCTGATCCTAAAAAAGCACAAGCTTACGTGCTTTCCTTGCAGATTGAACTCTTCCTCAGTCAATAGGCTTTAGCTTATGTATGAATCAATGCCTTTATAAATCAAATGAACGGGATAAAGTTATACTTATATGCTCAAAATAATTAATGATGCGAGTGTGTAAGTAATCAGCATTTTTATTCACCAATGCCACAACATACTATCATTATTAATTCCCGCAGTTTTCATTCTCACTTCAGCTTGACACAATAGTAAACCATTTTTTAATAATATAATATAATGAATAAAGTGACAAAAATACTCATAAAGTGGTTTGCTAAGGGTACTGAGTATTTTAAAATAAGAAAAAGGACAAAAATACTCATAACATTATATGAGTGGGTGCAAAAGTGACCAAACCGTTAACGTTGACCTAACACCATTAATATTAACTGTGCATGTCACGTGTCAGTCTTTACTGATATGAATTAATAAAAGGGTAAAAATATTCACAAAGTCATTAGCTAAGAGCAAAAATACTAATAATGTTACCAAAATTAGTACAAAAGTGATCAATTTTTATTTGTTCATTTATATGACTTAATTTGTAATAAAATTATTATTCATAAAATTATTATATCAATTCAAAATTATTTACGGAATGGCAATATTTGAGAAGTAATATTTGAGATTATGAGAGAGAATATCAAGGATAAAGTTTTTAAAAATAAAATTTTAAATTATAAATTAGTTGAAAAATTATATTTGAGATTTTGAGATCATGGGAGAGAAGTTACATTTTCAAATTACAATCTTATAAATTAAAAAAATATTTTTAAAAATTAATAATGATATGGATAGCATAGAATTGTAATATTTTAAAAAAAATTGATACATGTTAAACTTAAAAAATTATTTTTCATTTATCTATTATTTATATATATATATATATCTATATCTATATTCTCACCAAATTTTACGTGAATCATGGATCTAAAAAGTTATTAAAATGATAGAATAATTTAAATAACTATTCATATTTAAATTTAATTATATGTATGAATTAAAAAAATCACAAACTAAATCGTAGAATAAGAAAGTTATTAGAATGATAGAATACTAAATAACTAACCATATTTAAAAGAGAAATTGTAGGGTTAGAAAATTATTAGATCATAGGTTAAGAAGTTACTGAAATAAATAATCTAAATAACTATCCATATTTAAATTTAATTATATGCATGAATTAAAAAATTACAAACTAAATTGTAAAGCAAGAAAGTTATAAAATAATAAAATATTAAATAACTAACCATATTTAAAAGAGGAATCGTGAAATTAAAAAATTATTAGATAATGGATTAAAAAGTTATTAAAATAATAGAATAAAAATAAATTATATTCATAAATTAAAAATAATGTTGTACGTAAAATCTTATGTGGTTTTTTGAAATTATAGTATTTGAAAATAAAAATAGCACTTTTCATTTATAGAAATGTGCTTGTTATTCTTCTATTATATATATAGATATATAAGAAAATCATCATGTGAGTATAAATAAATTTATTACTAGAAAATAGAAATTTACGCATCCATCTATTTATAATACACGACCTAATATTTTTGGCCTATGAATAAATTTAAAATAAAAAGTTAAAACGCCTAAAACCAAGTGTACATCAGAAATTAGAATTAGAATTATCATAGAAAACAAATCTTTTAGGATTATAAATTTGATGGTTTGATGATTAAATTGGTTCTGACCCGATTTATCCGTACAAGTGTTTATTATTAATTTATTTTTTATTGTAAAAACTAAAATCTTTATTTATTGATTTTTTTGCACAAAAAAAACTAAAATCCTAAATATGAAATTTTGTAACTGAAAAATTCACGCTCCAAAAAGATATTTATTTCTTATCTTTTAGGGCATCTCAAGGAGTACGATTTAAATAGAAAAGCCTGACCCCTTAACGCGTTAACGAAGGAAGATAGCTGTGAGCCTGTGAGCTGGCCGACTCCGAGTTCTGTCGATCGCGATCTTCTTGTGATTCCTGACGCTGCTGTGCTTCCTCCTTTCGTTGTTCTTCGATTTTTGTGCCGCCGGTAAGGCTACTCGATACCTGTGATTGTTATCGAGGTGCAGCGGCCATCTAGGGTTTTGTTCCTGATCTGATTGATTGCTGTTCTCCGTTTTTCTTCCATTTCTCTTTCGATATTCTGACCGTTTCTCAAAAGTGATACGAGTCTGCATTAATTGTGTATGTATTGTGCTGATTCGTAGAAAGTGTTACGGGATTTTTGCTAGCAATTCAGTTTTCGAAGATATTTTTTGAATTTCTGTTTTTGAGTCTACTGGTTGTTGGTAAGGGTTGTATTAATTGAAAAAAAAAAAACATTCTAAACATATTAGGTTGCCGGGGTTGGAAATTTGAGATTTTGGGCTTAGGGCTCGAATAAATCTTTTCCTTAAAAAACTGATTACTGATTAAGGGGACTTGTACTTGTCAATCACATGGCAGCAGGGAGGGAAAATGTTCCGAGGAGAAGAGAATCTTACAAATATAGTTCCAATAAGGAATTTGATCATTATAGTAGTGGTTCTTTTGGCGTGGCAGTGCACCGGTCTAGCAGCCACCGACACGTCACATATAAGAATGGTCGTAGATCTTCTTCAGATTTCGAGGATTCAGGTCCTCAACGGATTGAGTCTTATGGTAAAAGAGAAGAGAGAGAGCAGGGTGAGTTTTATGGAGATAATGGGAAATATGCACCTACATCAATCTTCAGGGAAGAAGACGGTGAAGTTGTGGACGGTGAAAATGCTCATGCACCACCAGAGAAGAGAAGAAAAATTTCTCCAATTGTATGGGACCTAGCGGAGAAGGAAGTAAAAATATCTTCTAAGAACAGGATGGCACAGGTGACTGCTTTGTCTCCCTCTTGTCTATCTCAACTAAGCTCTCATGGAGTTAATGGTGTGTTTTATGGCATAGCTATTAATTCTGAGTCTCCAGCTGATTTCTCTAGTGCATTACCTCAAGGCGATTCAGGCAATAATACTGAATATATTGACCAGCCTGATGGAAAACATGTAAAAGGTTGGAATATCACAATGTCAAGATGGTTGTCTGATGATTATTCCCCCAGGAATGATTCTGATGATGATTACATGCATGGAAAAGAGGCATCAAGCCCAGAAAGTGGTGAATTCAAATGTGGAAGTTCAGAAGGCAAAAAAACGAGATCATCAAGAAATAGTGGAGGAGTTGATTGCTGCCGCTCTTCGAGTAAAGAAGATAATGATTCTGAAAAGGAGTTACTTGTGGACACTATGGATGATGATGAGGAATATAGTGAAACTTCTAATGTTACTTACCCTTCATCAGATCCTGAAAATAGTGGCAGTTTGGTACCAGTGCAGAGAAACATCAGCAGCATTCAGGGTTGCAGAAGTGTTTTAGAATTTGAGATGATCAAGAAAATAAATGAAGGAACTTATGGTATTGTCTATAAGGCTAAGGATAAGAAGACTGGGGAAATTGTAGCATTAAAGAAGGTGAAGATGAATATGGATAGAGATGGCTTTCCGTTGTCCTCTCTGAGGGAAATAAATATTCTCTCATCTTTAATCACCCTTCTATTGTGGAAGTTAAAGAGGTGGTTGTGGATGATTTTGATGGTGTTTTTATGGTGATGGAATATATGGAGTATGACCTAAAAGGTCTGATCCAGACGATGAAGCGGCCATTTAGTATAGTTGAAATAAAATCCTTGATGATGAAACTTCTCAAGGGTGTCAAGTATCTCCATGACAATTGGGTTCTTCACAGAGATTTGAAGACATCAAATATTCTGTTAAACAAAGAGGGTGAGCTGAAAATATGCGACTTTGGTTTATCTCGTCATTATGGAAGCCCACTCAAGCCATATACTCCTCTTGTGGTTACTCTATGGTACAGGTGAGCAGCATAGTATTAATACTTGGTTTTCATTTATGTTGTTTAAGATTGATAAACTAGTGGCTAATGTAACTTATTCGTGAATTATGTATTGGTTGACTGTGCAGGGCTCCTGAGCTTCTGCTAGGTGCTAAAGAATACTCAACAGCGATTGACATGTGGTCAATTGGTTGCATAATGGCTGAACTAATTGCAAAGGCCCCTCTGTTCAGGGGAAAATCTGAAATTGAGCAGCTTAATAATGTAAATAATCAATTCAATTTTTCTTGTATTTCATCAGTTATATTTAGTGAGAACTTTAATATGCTAATAATAAATATTTGATTTTCAACCATCTGCAGATTTTCCAAACCCTGGGCACACCTAATGAGAAAATTTGGCCAGGAGTATCCAAATTATCTGGATTCAAGGCCAACTTTGTTAAGCAGCCGTAAGTTCTTATTTTCCTTGCTGTCAACCTTTTTAAGGTTAACCTCGTCTAAATTTGTGTGATGAGTAGTGGAATCGTCTGTTTTTCTTTTTCATGTTCTATCATTCTTTGCTTTTTTTTAACTGATCCCTGTAAGTATTCCAGGCACAATGTGTTGCGGAAGAAGTTTCCTGCTGCATCCTTCATTGGATCACCTGTTCTTTCTGAAGTGGGATTTGACTTGTTGAGCAAGCTGCTAGCTTATGACCCTGACAAGGTGAACAGTGGAAATTATTATTATGTGATGATTTTTTATTCGAACTGAATTTTAATGCTGATGCGTCTTTTTGGTCCCTTTACAGAGGATATCTGCCGAAGCTGCTCTTCTTCATGACTGGTTCCATGAAGCCCCTCTTCCTAAATCTGACTTAAATATCACATTACCTTCACAGCGTTGCTAGTACTGTAGGACAGGTACATCTGCTGGCTGCTTGTGAGACATCTTCAGGAACAGTGCTATTTCTTTTTTCTCATAATTGTTTGTCTCACCAAGTTTATGACTACATGTGTAAAAATTAATGTGATTACAAAGGACAGGGCAATGAACTCTGCTAGACTTTTGGTTGACATGGTTAGCAACGGATTGATGTTTAGATGCTCGGGAAGGTGTGACCTTATACTTCTTTCTTAAAAAAAATGTTCAATCCAAACTCAACGCGTTCTCCCTCCCCCCCACCCAAAAAAAAAAAAAATGCATTGTGTTTGCTAAAAGATGCACATATATTTCAGGATTTTCTGTAGCAAATGGTGAATTTCTTGCGATGGTGATGTTCACATTCTCTTTCCTTCTTAACAATTTTCTATCAATGAGATGTATGTAATCTAAGGATTTAATGGATGTGTCATTTCCTTTTTGGCCATGCAAGAGTGATATTATTTTTTATCCTTTGCATTTTTATTTTAAGTTAAAACAAATGGTTGTTACTTTTTGCGAAGTTATCATTACAAGGCATTCCAGGGTTCAGTTCATCGTGAACTTCTGTAGTTGTTTACTATATTGCCCATTGTTGTTCGTGGATTTAGATTATATTTCTGAAGTGTCATGATGGAGAAGATGGGTAATGTCATAAGGCGCAGAGCAATATTATGTAACTTTTGCGCATGAGGTAAAATGCAATGTCTTCCTCATCCTTCCCTTGTATAATTCAACGATATTTATACAGCATCCCTTTTTGAGTTTTTCCTTATCTATTTCTACTTAGTGACACGTAGGTATAATGGTTGACTGCTGTTGCAGTCAGTAGGCTAACGTCTGGATGGTGCGTTTGGAGTCTCTGTTTACTGAGGTATGTAGTTTTTCTAATCCTACATCAGGGGCATTACTTAATAGCATGTTCCCAGTTGGTACCATAATTAATTTGACGCTTTGCTGTGAAGGTCCGTTGTTGCGATAATTTGATTTGTGTAGAACAATTGAATATCAGTTGAGAAGTCTTCCTTATCATAAATGTTATTGCCCGAAGGCTAAATTCTGACAGGACTTCGTAGTAGCTAATTTGTGTTAAATGCCTTTTCACACTTCCTAGTTACGCAAAGATCAGATTAAAACTTACTGTTTAAGCTGTGTTGGTTTATTGATGAGAAACGCTGATGTTGCATGTAGTTGGGGGCGAGAGTTACTTTGTGCGAGGTTTTCTTGGGAATGATAAAGATGTATTGTCGTTTTGATGCTCATCCTCCACACGTAAAGTTAAATGATTTGGAAATTTATCTGACATGGTATTAAAGTTGTTATGCATCCGTTGCTGTGGTAATGTTTCCCGGCATTTAATTCTTGAGCAAATTTGATGGTCACGTAGTAGGTTTTGTTTTTCGACGCCAGAAGAGCAAGTTCTAATGCTTCAGAATTCAATATCAATTGTAGTTACTGTAATCCCCAAATGGCTTTGGCCAAAATAATAATAATAATAATAATAATAATAATAATAATAATAATAATGGAGAAGTTCTTGCACAATTAAGTATTGTAAAATTCATTGATAATAAAATAAAACATTTAGTTTTCATTTATGTTTTTGGCTCACTTGTTGATGAAACTAATAATAGTTAACTGTGTGGTGTGGGACTGAAATAATTCTTTAAAAATAAAATCCCAAGTCATCATTGGTAGCGAAGATATCTCGTTCGTATTTAGGATTGTGCATGGGTGAAAAATTTTGAAGCATGTAAAGAAATTTCTTTGAAAAAAAAAAACAATTATCATCATCTAAAATAGAGTTTTTTATAAAGCTATTAAGAGAATGGAAAGTAATTTTGTTTAGACAACTTAATTATGTTATATAATATTTAGTTAAAAATTAAATTTTGAAAGATTGAAAAATTGTAATGATAAAAAAATGTTTAAAAGGATCTTGATAATAATGCTGTCACCGATAACTCTCAAAAATAATATCATAAAATAAATATTAAAAAGAATTTTTTTATGTAAAAAAGTTAAAACGGCATAGGCTTGGGCAAGACAAGGTTGATTTTGACCCCTATAAAGTGCCTGGCCCCGAAGAGTTTGAATGGCTTTAGTAGGGCAGAGTTTTGGAACAATGTTAACCCTGTTGGTACTAATGACTCCAGATACGTCTGGATCGAAAGTTGCCAAATTAAAATTGATAACCAAACTTTTGATTCAAAAGCTCTTTCGAGAAATCAGAATTCGGCTTCAATATTAACTAGGTTTTATTTCAGAAACTCTTGAAAACTATTAGTCGAACGTTCTTCTAAACATGTTTTTCATCCTCAAATTAGTAAGTTCAGTTTGGATATCGTCGAAATATAAATGCAGTCTTCGTTACAAGGGCATAAAAATTGCACAATAACCCGTGAATAAGCCACCTGTTGGGTCCTTGATGCAATCACAAAATGATGAGCGCTTCCAAATTTACACCCCCAGCATCTTTAAGTGTTGCTGGGTACGGAAGCAGAACCGTGGATGATGACATCCAACAAATTAACCAAGAATCAATCATGCATGAATTGCAAGCGAGCAGACAACTTTCCTCAATTAACCTTTTATTTCGGAGATGTAACTCACCAAGTGTCATTTTTGACGAGAGCCGGCATGGAAGTTTCTTTGGGAAAAATGAGCCACGTTCAAAGTCAAGCGGATCCCGCATCTTTGGCACGCTTAAATTAGAAATTAAAAATTAACACCAAAAAAATCCACGCTTCCTTAGAAAGCACTATGAGGACAGAGCCTTCTCGACTTCAGTTGTCACCTCTTTGGGAGGTTTCTCCGCAGGAAGGTTAGCAACCAGACCTTTCTTCGAATAATAATCAATCACCTGTACGTCCAAAGCAACACTCTATTGTTAATAATGATCCTGACACCGAGTCTCAAAAGAATAAGCAAAATCTTCTAAATTTATCTAGAGTTCTAAATTTTACTCAAGACCATACAGGTTCAGTTTGTTTATGAAATGCTTCCAGTCTAGACTTCAAGACAGCCGCAGTGTCATCCTTGCGCTGAATCAGGGGTTCCCCAGTAACCTAAGCAAAACAATTAATTAGACAACTCCATTTGTAACGTGATATGCAATGCATTAGCCCGTCCTTAAGAGGAATGAATATAGCCAGCAATTGCTGACAAAACTACCTTTTGTAGAAAGAATGTTAAATCTGAACTGGAGCTTTGCTTCATATTCAGATGCTAATATTGCAATTCACGTGACAATAAAATCTTGCGAACAATTATTAACCTTAATATGTTTCAAAAACTAGAATTCATGATATTATATGCATAGGTACACACATAAATATACAAATTTAGACTCACATCATCAACTCCTGGAACCTTCGGTGGGGCAAATTTTGTATGGTAGGTTCTCCCACTGGATGGGTGTATCCAGCGACCTGTAATCCGCTCTTCAAGGGTTGCATCATCAATTGCAAAATTGAGTACTTTGTCTAGTTTTGCTCCCTTCCTTTCCAGCATCTCATCAAGCTGCAAGCAAAGTAAACAAAGAACATTTGAATATCACATTTCTTGAAGAATGCACATATTTTTCTCTTTTGCAGAACCTCATCAAACTGCTAGCATACTAAACAAAGAATATTTGAATATCATGTTTGCTGAAACAAGTATATATAGAGCACAAATATTTGACTGAGAACCTAACATTCCAAATCAGTGAGCTGCTACGATGTCATCAACTGTGTAATCTGTAATACCTTCTGTGCTTGGACCACAGTTCTAGGAAAACCATCAAGAATGAAACCTTTCTGACACGATGGTTTCTTCATTGCTTCATCTATAATTCCAACAACCAAGTCATCTGAAACAAGTTCTCCCTGAAAAGCAAACACATAAATCCATATTAATAATCAATAACCATGTTAAAAGGTGCACATGGAAAGAGTACAGCGAACACTCAGGAAGCACAACGTAAAAAATGACCCTACCTTATCCATTGCTTCTTTAGCCTTGATGCCAAGAGGGGTTTTAGCTGCTACAGCAGCTCTTAACATGTCACCAGTAGCTAGGTGGCACAAACAATACTCATCCTTTATGATTGGTGATTGGGTGCCCTTCCCTGATCCAGGTGGACCTGCATCAACATATTCTCAAGCTCAGCACCACACACGCAGCATATAGCAGTGCTATTTATTATTTGCACCTATGATAAAGTACATCCAATAACGAATAATTTTTTGGCCAATCCAATTAAAAAATAAATTATGACACACTTAATGCCAATAAAGTCGTAGCTCCTAAACTCATACTCCCGTTTCCTCACCCTTGTATTCATTCATTGTTTGAATGCAATCAAAACCCTAATAGAGGGCTATTCAATTGTATGCAGAACTAAAATAATAAGCCAGGTTTAACTAAGATTTAAAAAAAGAAAAAGAAAAGCATAAGCAAATTTATGTGGTCACGACCGTATCTATAAACCCAAATGCTCTTATCACATGTTAGAGGAGTAACCATAATAATATATAATATGAGCAACCAATATCAAATTAAAATATCAGTATAAGGACATTGGAAAAGACTACTTTACAAGAAATGTACCCCACTAGATGCGGGAGCAGTCATTCTAAAATTTCCCATGCTAAGTCCCATGACATATAATGATCTGCATGTTCAATTAAGCACAGTAATGTAATCCTCGACAGTCTATTTTGCAAATGGAAAGAGAATCATCATGAAAAGAGAAATGCCAACTGAAGAAACCTCCCTTGTGGGACAGGAACCACTACATTACACTTCAGCAGTTTAACTGCTTAAATCAATTGGAAAAACAAGATACAGCACTCCAATATTCTATTTTGCTAATCAAAAGGTAAGAATAGCTTGACCACTAAAAGAGGTGGCCAGTACGAGGATAAATTGTTTTAGCAGAAATTATAAAAATGCATCACAACAAGGAAATCATTTACTTTCAACTTAGAGCTCAATTCCAAGGAATTCTTGTGCTAAGAGATTTAGCGCTGGAAAAGAGGAAACGGCAGAACTTGATTAAGCCAAATATAAACCAGATCACATCAAATCATGTATTTTCTAAGAGCTTAACTCATGCTATGCACCTCTTTTGACTAGTCTGGCTAAGAGAAAACCATAAAACCAGGACGCATCTTAAATACAGACTAAATTGTTACCAAAACTTGGAAACAAATTTTGAACCGTCAACTTTTAGCTAGCTACACAATTAAGATACTTTCAACATATTACATGTGTTTCTACCAACTGGAGCCTGACACCAAGTGTTCACAAATAATTTAAAGTAGTAATGCGAGGTCATATCTAATACAAGTGTCAACGTATTTTGGAAACGGGCAGGGACAGTCAGACGCTGCTCCCATTTTTTAAAGCGTGCTTCAATGGCATCATTACACATTATGCACCTACCTCAAGTCTTCACCCTCAACATAGAAATGACCTCTACGGAAGAAGCATATTTATTATGACAGCTATCAGGCAATTGACAAGGATGATAGGCAAAACTATTTGACAAGACTTAATGTTGGAATCAAACCAATAACCTGAAAAATAAGGCCTAAACATACAACCATTTGAATTTAAAGACTCAGGCACACTCATCCATCATTAAATACTGAAGAAAGAAAATAAAAATACTAAAGACACCCGAGAAACAAAATCACATGAACCAGCGAAAGAAAACGTATGAATTTCTTGATGTCCACCTCAAGTAAGTGTACGACGCCCAAGTATCTCCAGCCCCAGTGGTCGCTAGCTTCAGCGCTGAGTCATTTATCGGCTACTGGTATATAATTAAAACTTAGAAATTTTTTAATGCCCTCCCTATTATACGATGGAGCAGCAGCAGCAGAAAACAGCACCTTAAACCCAGAACAGGTAAAACATTTTTTTATTTTTTAATGATAATAATCATAAGACAGGTAATAGTTACCCCGTGAAAGCCCCAAACGGAACCCTAGTGACTGCACCAACCTCACAGAAACATCTAACTTTCCATGACAAACAATGGCTGTTTCGGATCTGGAGGATTACCAAAGAAAAAGGAGGAAGAGGAAGAAGAAGAAGAAAGTAGAAGAGAAAGAAATACCAATGAGAATGAGACGCTTGTCGGGTTTGGAGGCGCACTTCATGCGACGGAGAAGCTCAGTCATGAGATCCACAGAAGGAACATCTTCCAAGTTAGCGCTCGCCATTCTGCTTCTTCTGCGTGCAAATCTCTTCGGCCTTGCGGTTTTTGATGTCGTGCAGCAGAAAGCCAAGCAGGAGAATCTCGCTTGCGTCCGATTTCCGGGAAGATCTCGTGTGCGTTTGGTTTTTACTTTGTAAAAAATTAATTTGATAAAAGTTCATTAATAAAAATTAATTCCTTATATTTAGATATATTTTTTTAAAAATTAATTTAATAAATTAAAAATTATTTGAATTAATAAAAAATTATACTTTTAAAATGTACTTTTAAATATAAAATGATCAAAAAGGAATTAATTTATGATAATTTATAATTTTTATTATATAAATATAATATATTAAAATGTTTAAAAATATGAAATAAATTTAAAATAACATAAAATTTAAAATGTTAAATAATGAAAATATAAAATTTAATATTAAAAAAATATGTAATAAATAGTTAAACCAGAGAGAGTAAAAACAAAATTAGATATCGTTGAGTTGAACCATAGCTTGCTTCTCATTAATATCAATGACTGAGCTATCTAGCTCAGAAACAGAGACAAGGATTCACACTGGTCCTCACACTCTCCATTGTTGCATCATCATCATCATCAACATTTGGACTGTCTTGGTCTCAATCATGGCCAAGCTCTGCTTTTGAGCCATTACTAGCATAACAATGGAAGCTCAAGAGGGGCCTAGATAACAGCAACAACAAGCATCCCATGCACAGAGGGGTTCGAATGAAGGCGTGGGGCAAGTGGGTGTTAGAAATTCGTGAGCCTAAGAAAAAGAATTGGATCTAGCTAGCTCGACACCTTTGTCACACTTAAGATGGCGACGTGTGCCCACAATGTGGTTGTGCTCTCTATCAAAAGCCATTTTGCTATTCTAACTTCCCCGAACTTATTGGTTTCCTGCCTCGACCTGCTTTCAACTCTCCCAGAGATGTTCAAGTTGCAGCAGTTAAGGTCGCTGCCATAAAGATATTCAATCCTTTGACAAAGTCACTCTCATCCTCCTCTTTATTGTCATCATGACAATGTCCTCTTCCTCCTTTAGCAACCCATCCACCCTGAAGGAACTGGTCGAGATAGTGGAGCTGCCGCTTCTGGGGAGTAGCTTCAAGATGGGTGGAGAGATAATAACACAAGATAAGAGATGAGAGAGCTCTTGGTCAAAAGACATAGGAGTGATAGAACACAAGCACACGCACGACAAGAATGACAAAAATAATGAAAAGTATTATGATCAAATATAAAATTAAGTACTAATTATTAATGTTTAGATCATCACATTCATATTTGAAAAGTAACGAAATGGAGAGTTGGAAAATCTACATTCAGCCATATTCCTGATGTATTTTTTCAAAGTGTTTTTACTATGAAAATTTTTTTTTAAACAATATTTTACATTTCAAAAGTAAAAACATATTTTTGGGATGTGAAATGTTTTTCCAAACGGCGTTCGTGCCTTCTTAAAAGCTTCTCTGGCTTTGGATTTGCAAACTGCGACACAAACACTTGCCGCCGTCTTAACAGCGTCACTTAATTGACTTCTTTACCCTTGTGGTTCGTAGCAGCAGGTGCCCTTGTCAGGCGAGGGTTAAAAATGGCAGTTTATAAAGTGATCCCGTACAAATTTTTACTTCCACTGTGCTTTTAATTTTTAAAAAGGAAAAAAAAAAGAAGAATCCTTATCATAGAATACATAAAACATCTCCTGATCATCATAAAAGGTTACTCTACTAATCAATCTTGTCAATTGCTACGCACCTTTTTTTTCTCATACTTTTTTAATCGTATACTTGAAGGCAAAGCAGGTTTTCGTTGATCTTTTCGGGACGTCGGAAATATTTGTTTTACTTAATAAATTATTGCAATATGATTTTCCTGAACTCTTCAACAAAGATGCGATTTAACCTATATATATTATAACTTGATAATTTATTCGCGCTCACGAATATATATTATCATGTTAACTTTTCGAACGTTCAAATTTTATTTGTAAGTTATCAGCACTTCACTGTTCATTTGATAGATATATAAGATACACAAGGCCAATAGAATTCATTTCAAAGACTCTATGACCCATATTAATCATTAGAGAAATGTGGCTAGCAAATCTTTCCAAGTCAAAATGATGCGCCAACCAATTAAGCTACTTACAGTATGATTATGAACATCGTGATTATCAAACTATTAAATTGACTTTTTAAATTTATCATTTTTACATCTTTAACTTATAAATTGTGTTAACTCATTCATAAACTTTTAAAATTTACTGTTTTTATATTTATAATTTAACTTATTCATAAACTTAGATTAAATGAAATCGATTAAATTTGCTAAATTTATAAGTTTTTAATTGAATTGAGCAAATTAATAAAAGTGATAGGACACAATCAAAAGAAAAATAAAACTCAAAAAACAAAAATTAATATTAATAAAAAAGAGAACAAAAATAAGTTGCTTTATTTGAAATTTTTATGTTTAATATGATAATTTATCAATATAGGTAAATTTAATTTCAATGATTTATATTTAAATATATTCAAATTAAATTATGATCATATTTTATATTTTAATTAAGGAAAACATAACTTTAAATCATTGTACATTACTTACGTTTTGCTATTAGTCCTTGTATATTTTTAATATTTTTAATCCCTATATTTTTGTTTTACATTGTTTTATATCTCTCTATGAATAAAATATGGAAACCTTTAAAGAATGTAAAACAACGGAACAAAAAAAAAAATACAAAGATTAATAACAAAACACAAGCAAAGTACAAAAATTTAAAATTATATTTTCCCTTTAATTTCATTATACACCTTTAATGATTATTCATTAATAAAAGAAGACTCTTACAAATTTACGATCTGAATTTATAATTTGAATTTACATTCCTATCACAAGTTTAATTAAACATGCGAGCTTGACAACCTTAATTATGATATATAGTCATTAAAATCAATCAGCAAGGGTAATTATGACCATAGGTATTTGAAAAATAACATGAAATGTTTCTAACATTTCCAGTATGAATAGTGGCAACTCAAGGGGCAAAAAGAAAAATGATTATAACAGTGCAACACTATATGATGCCCGAACTTGCTGGAACAAAATTTGTGATGAAGGGAAATGAGGGATCACTATAGCGTAACACAAAGCATGCAATCAAGACAAAGATCTCCCCCCAGACTCCAGAATAATTAAAAGACAAGATACTTCTACAACAAAACCTGCAACCCCGTGATTTACTCATCATCCTCATTTTTGGACTTCTTCTTCTTGGTCTTAACAGCGGCTTCCTGTACTTCTCCATCATTATCTTTCTGCTCTTTCTTCTTCTTCTTCTTCTTCTTATTAGCTTCTCCATTTGCCTTGGCATCAGCCCCGTTGGCATCATCTTGAACGGCCACATCTTGCATCTCTGTTTCCATGTCCAGTTTCCTCTTTTCTTTCTTCTTTTTCTTTTCTGATTTGCGATCCTCTAATGCATCACCATTTGTAACTCCGTTGGACTTATCGACAGCCATGTCTTCAACTCCATCAGCAGCTTTTGGCTTCTTTTTGCCTTTCTTGCCAGATACTTCGATAGGCGCTTCTGTTGCCATCTCAGTGTCTGCAATAATAAACAAAGATCAGCAAAATTATACCACCACACTTGTGCAGAAAACTTGGGTGTTTCTCAAATCTCCATGTACTGGCAATCGTGAATTTTCAGAATCAAACAGTCTTGGAGTTCAAAGGATAAATTAAATGAGACAGAAAGAAGTAAAAGTAGCTTGTATTATTGAATCCTGCAAACCTTTATTTTGAGCATTTTCAATAGCAGCCTTCATGACATCAACGTTCTTACGAGGGGCAACTCCCTTGTCATAGAAGTCAAGTCGCTCCTCAACTTGTTCACGGAGTTTCTCTCCAAAAGCTGTACTACCCCTTTCTGCAACAAGAATAGCAAAGGCATTTCAAATGGAAGGATGTGGTAAGTAATACATTTCAGAAATTAACAAGTTATAAGCTAACCAGAAAAGCAGTCAATGCGTGATGCAATTGAACATTTGTTAGCAAGATAGCGAGCCATCCGGCCTTTGTTCTTGGCAGATGCTCGACCAATGAAAGATGAATGGAATATTAGACCATATTTGGGAGTATTGCCTCTGGTTTTCAATGCCCTGAATACACCAAAGCAAAATTATTAATAGAACTGTGTTCTCTAAGCAAATTCAATACAGGTGTCAAAGTTGGAGACCAAACTAGCTCTCTAGCCTTGCAGAATACATATCCTAAAGCTAATGAAAGACCAAAGGCCATCTGAAGCACCTTTTCAGTCCCTACGATCACTAAGAAATTCCAGCTTTAGTTAACCAAAACAAGAGGTACTGAGCTATAAACCTGAACAAAGCCTTCTCTGCACCAAGAATTTGAAGAGTAGAAGAGGGGCACTTGGCCAAATTAGTGAGGCTTCCAGCATGTGAAATCAATCGTGCGCCAACAACTTCACCAATCAAAGAGGCCAAATTTGGAGCAATATCATTCATCTTGGTAACAAGATAATCATAAAGCTTCCTCCTATACTCAGATAGGTCCATTACCCTCTGAGCAAATTGCTGGACATTAATTAGGTCCACTGGAGACAAATCCTGTCCTGAAGAAAATCAAGAGAGTGCAGGTTTTATATAGAGATTTAGAGAATAGTGCTGAAATTATGCAATACAAGAACAAGAATCCTACCCATAGACGCCTTGGCAGCTTCCACAATCTCCTTTGCCTTGTCTTCATCTCCAACTATGTCTGTTAAGCCTGAGATTTTGTCCTCAGACAGCTTTGACTTATCTTCAATATATTTTGCAACTCTGGCATAAAGATAATTGTCATTTATGATCTTTACCAGTTCAGGAAAATGCCACGAGTACCATTCCCTGCACAGATTTGACAAATCAGCATATAATAAATATTGAGATGCACTAAATAAGTTTTTGATTATTCAAATCATGCTTCAAATGTTACCAATTTCCCAAATATAGCAAACCTTGTTGAATATGATGATGATTCTGGATTTGATTATATATGTATTGTTTTGTACATCTGTCAAATAATATACCTGACTCTCATG